CGGAAGCAACAGCTGAGGCAAACATCAATTTAGTCCACGCCATAATAGTTACTACTATCGCCTGCCTGCTTGGAGCAATGATGGTGCTCGTCCCATACATTGTATATGCCAGATGCTCGTCAGGTCGAAATAGGAGCCACCGCTTGGTCACTGAACCTGGGCACGACTCAAATCAGTTTGGCAACGGCGTAGGTGGTGCATGCGCTGTGCACAGACAAGAAACGGGAAGAGACGTGTCAGAGACGAAAGCGGATAAATTGGAGCGAGACAGAGTTGAAAGAAAATCCTGGGCCGACCTAGCCAGAGGCCAACCACGAGTCACTTTCGCTAGGGAAGACAGTGGAGACCCACCAGAATGGATGGGGAGAACAATCTCAGCTGCACCTACCCCTCCACCTCACAGAGGCAAGTTGGAATACGACAAAACAATGGCCAAACAACGGCCAGCAGCTCAAGCATATGAAGGTGCGATCAAAACCTAATGCACTCACATGAATGTGCACATATATGGGATAGGTATAACTATAAGTAGTCAATAAGAGATCCAATTAGTTCAGATAAAGACAGTTATGCCTATCCAGAGCCAATGATAACAGTTATACACCACACGAGGCAGCAACTTATCTCCAACATTTTTGAATCAGAAATAGATCAAAGGGAATTAGAGCACCAATCATAAAACAGACAAACACTTCCCAGATGGACAGAAACGACAGAATTAAGAGTATAGTGAGAGAGCACCCACATAATATGTATAAACCACGCCGTCGGAACTCCCTGAGAATCACAAAACCAACTATAGCACGCACCTCAATTGCCTATTATTCCTAACCAAATACTAATTCGTTCAAATGAATGATGATTTACTCAAGAATATTGTTCGCATCACTCGGACAATTTGAGTTTATAAAGAGTAAACAAACTCATTGTGAAACCTGGCAAAGCAAGAAAAATAAAGATATGTACCTACAATAAGCTAAAATTCTAGTTTTCTTGATATTAGAAGACAAAGTTTGTTGGCATTTAATTTGTACATATAAAACAGTATTTTTTTAAAGGTTTAGAAAAATAAGCACAAAAGTTGGACAATCTGCTGAGAATTAAAACATGATAGGTGAGTTTCAGAGCACGAATTTAAAATTTTCCAATGAAGCAAACCGAATCAAAGACGCAAAATTTTCACTTGTGTGCGATCTACCAAAGTGTTAGCCAAGCAAGATTGATTGATGATCTCTTCTGTTGAAATCGTACTAGTAGACAAAGTATCTGATTTTAAAACAGTTCCTTCACTATTTTCACTGGGTTTAATTGAAGCAGATGAGTAAATAGAAGTTGAAAAGATCTTCATATGAGCGTAGCTGCCTTTGCTTGTGCCCCCGCGGCTGGAAAGTCCGGGATTTACACAAAGAACACCTGACACAGTCTACATGGGCAAAATAGACAGGCATAATAGAGATTATGAAATAGTAATATAAACTAACGCTAAGAATCTAGCAAGAGTATAAAATTTACACTTTTAAAATTCTGGTTCAGTCAATAGAAAAACTGTTCCAATCTATTTGCAATAAGGTTTCACAATAAAAACGAGTCTTAAACGCGATGGCTTCTTTCTATTTATAAAATGTAAGGAAGCAAATTAAATACAGCCTTGTTAAGGGGACCTTTATTTCGGATGAAAGTGCATAAAGAAGAGATTCGTTGGTCGATCTCACCAGATGAGGACGGATGAATCTCGTTTTACTGCAGCCGTTTGGCTTTTATACGATATTCATTTTGACGCAGTCCACGAGACTTCCTCGGTTCGGGTGAAAACGTTCTGAGCTTTCGTCCATCATATGATGGACATCATCAGAGCTGGGTGTCATTCTTG